CTACTACACAGTGGTAGTAACCAAAACAGCATGGTACTGTACAATGACAGGCACACAGACCAATGGAGTAGAATTGAGAGCCCATCTATTTACAGTCAATTGATATTGGGCAAGAAAATGAAACCTATCAAATGGGAAAATGATAACCTCTTCAACAAATGGTGCTGGCAAAACTAGTCATTTTATTCTGAATTATCTATTTCTGATATTTTATTAATAATCTTTTAGATTTCTAGTTTCTAATTATCTGTTTATGCTTTCATTTTGTTCTTGAATTATTATATTGAATTAGTTTAGATTTTTGCCAGTAGTTTTGCTGATTTCTTTGAGGAACTATGTATAAGTATTTGAATGCTTCGTTCAGACAGTTAATTACAATTTTTTTTTCCTCAGGAAAATGTTCTGTCCATTTATTGTGATACTTGTTTGAGATTTCTTATTCTGTATTTTCAGATTATGTCTATTGACTTCTGTCTTTAAGGTACTAAGTTTATTGCTAGGAGTTAGTGTGTATTCTGGAGATTAGGGTAGTTTTTTCCTTGTCCTTTGGAAAGGAGCATTAATCAAATAAACGTGATAGAGCAACTGTGCAGGGCCGATTTGGCATCTCAGTAATTTTGAAGTTTCAAGGAGTTTTACTGCAAGTGCAAATGGAATGCAGGAACCAGACAAGTATGGAGTACATGCTATTACAGTCTTGTGGTGGATTTTAGATGAGGGCAATAGAATCTCCTGCTTATCATTTGAAACTAATGCATTTGGTACCTCTCAGAATGTGAGTGATACTGCTTCTGAGGTGATGAGTCTGTCTTGCTGGTCACATACTGTGGAAGCATTCTTACTCATTGTTGAGTTGGGTGCTATTTATGTGCACTGTTGATTACTCGATGATTAAGGTGAAGATGCTCACTGTGGGTGGTTTGAGAACTCACTTGGACAGGAGGAGCTGTGCAGGGATTGTGAATGGGCACATGCTTTAGTCTCTGAGGTCCAAAAGTATGAGAACATGTGTCACAGATAATTGGGTAGGGAGGTGGGCGTACCATTGCCTCTGGGCACACTCTGGAAGGCCATAATCCTGATGTACTAACGCATGGTGTGGCGAAACTGTGATGCCAGTCTGCCTCTCTACTGTAGGTGACTGGCAGGAGGAGCAGGTGTTGTCAGATTATGGACCCTTGGTACCAGGGATGGAGCAACGGGTGTATGGTCATGTATGGAAGCAGAGCTCAAATTTTGATGGACATCATGGATTTGCGTGTCCTCAGCATGGTGAGAAGGGACAAAAGAGTGAAGGAAAGTCACTCAGTTCCATTGATTTGAAATGGGAAATTCTACATAAAAGAGTTTTGCCTAATTCACATACTTGTAAGACAGAGATTTGAGTTCCAAAATCATAATGCCAGAATAAATGCTGCCGCCTTACACTTCAGAGTAAAAAAAATAAATAATAATGATGTTAAGCATTCCAAGACTCTGAAGAGGAAGATGATACAGACAGACTCAGTGTCTTAGGCTTTGTTCTCAAAGCAGCTTTGTTTGGTTGTGAGGAAGATCAGCAAAGAGTTGGTTGCAACAGTAGTGACTGACATTTCCTGAACACTTGCTATGTGTTGGGCTAGCACACTCCCCAGGGCGTGGAGCTGTTAACCTAAAGGCAAAGCCTCTCTGGTGGTTCGAATTCACCCATCACTCCTCAGAAGAAAGATGAACAATCTCCCGTCATACAAAACATACAGCAACAACTTGAAAACAGCGGACAATAATATTTTCATTTTACCAGGAGGTTATCAATAAGTAGTTTAATTTGTCCTTGTGTTTTTAGCTCTTATTTAATTCACTCCAATCAAAAAAAGAGCTAATATGTGGAATGTTGTCCATGGGCGAAAGGAAATAGATCACCCTGGATGCAGGGGAAGGGATCCTTTCTCCAATGCACATTTTCTGTGCATCTGAGCATTCCCTCCAGAGTTGTAAAGTGGCTTTATCTTGCATTTGTCTTATCAGGATTTTCTATTTTGCGGAGTATTCACATGCATGATCTCATCTAAGTTGGATGGAAGCTGCCATTCGCACCTCTGTCATCAGAACCAAAATACCTTGTGACTTCACTTAGCAGTTGGCTGAGGAGTGTGAGAAGCTGAGCTGCACAGGGGCTAGAAGAGTGGGGAGGGGACTGAGGAGCTGTCTGAGCTTCACAGGGGGTGAGGAGGAGGGAGAGCTATTGTCAGTGAGCTGGAAAAGAAGAGCAAAGCCTGGGAGCCCATCAAATGGAAAACTCTGGGGTGTTCTGAAACCACTCACATGGTGCAACTCTATCAACCCTCTTCGAACAGGCTGGAAGGGGAGGCGAAGGCACTCCAGACCTTAGGGCTCACTTGAGTATAATTAACTTCTATTAAAAGTTTTGATGGTCAATAGAGTCACAGGACTTCTTTTATAATTTTTTTTCCCTGTCTAATCTGATTTCCCTGTTAGTCTAGCCGTATTTCATTTTCACGAGAATATTCTTTAGAAAATAGGAGCTGATTTCAGGGGAGCTCTGGTGGCCTAGTGGCAAGAAGCTGCACTGTAATCCCAGAGGTGCATGGATCAAATCCACCAGATGCTCTGCTGG